CGTCAGCCCAAAGAGCAATCAGGGTTCCCTGCCCTGTGAAAAGTCCAAGGACCACCCACCTCCATCCAGGTCTAGTAAGGTGAGCATCCAAACTGCCTAGGCTCCCCACAAAGCCAATCTTGCTTCCTCTACATGTGGCTTATGACTGCATCCTTGCCTTTCCACTTCCCAGAATTCTCCTACTCTGGTTGCTCCACCTATACTTCCTGCCTGGCTATTGGCCAATCAGCATTTCATTAACAGGTACAAGTGACAAATTTTATAGTGTACAAAAGCATTATCCCAAAGCATACATGGGTATTGGGGTTTTAAACTCAGGACATCATGCGTACCTATGTGTGTGTGTGTGTGTGTGTGTGTGTGTGTGTGTCTACATATAACTCAGTTTACCCCCTGAGCTATCTTCTTTACCCATAAGACATTGTTACTACAAACACAGTTTGAAAAATACTATTATATGTTGTAGAATATTATTTTAAAATGTGTTATGCTTGTTTATGTTGTGGAACATTTGCTTTGATGATGCAAAGATATGTTGCATTCTTTTATGTCACATTTGTTTGACTCTGTGAAGCTGTGATTCTTTGTCTGGCTAAAAACACCTGATGGTCTAATAAAGAGATGAATGGCAGGAAAAAGGTTAGGTGGGGTTGGTAGTCATAGAAGATAACTAGAAAAATAAATATTGGGGAAAAAAGAAGGAGCAAGATAGAACAAGGAGAGGAGGACATCAGTGGCCAGCCAACCAACTACAAAGAAAGCCATAGCAAAAGAAGTAAAGAAAGGCATACAGAAATAGAGAAAGATAAAAAGCCCAGAGGCAAAAGATAGATGGAATAATTTAAGTTAAGAAAAACTGGCTAGAAGTAAGTCAAGCTAAGGCTGGGCATTTATAAGAAAAAAAATAAGACTCTGTGTGTGATACAGAGCTGGGTGATGGGCTCCCCAAATAACCAAATAGCAAAAGAGTAGAAAAATGTAAGCAACTACATTATAGTTGTTGGTTTAAAATCTATTTTATCAGATATTATTGTATCCACTTTGGCTTTAGTTTGGTTTGCTGATGTGTTTTATCTGTTTTCATAATTTCACTTTCAAATTATTTTTATTTGAAATTTAAAGCATAGCTCTTATATGCAACATAAATTTAGATATTATTTTTATTAAGTTGGTTAATTTCTAATCTTGAGTAGATTTTAATTCTTGAGTCATATGTGATATGAATGAATATGATTTTTAAAATATCACATAATGAGAAATATAAATATTTGATAGGTATACATAGCTCAGTAAGCTGGGGTATTCCAAAGATGTGTTGAACAGTTTTTGGACAACTGGATAACAACAAGCTACAGCCATCTAGGAAGAGGAATTGCCTCCATATATTGGCCTGTGGACATCTGTAGGACATTTTCTTGACTAATGACTGATTATAAGAGCTACAGTCCACTGTGTGCAGTGCCATACATGGGCCAAAGTGATCAAAGTATGGAAAAGAAACCACTAAGCAGATTTCCTTCATGATTAGTATTCCTGTTCCTGCTCGGGTTCCTACGCTGACTTACCTCAATGATGGATTCTGATGGAACGTCTAAGCCAAGCCTTTTCCAAAGTTGCTTTGAGCTTGTTGTTTATCACAGGAAGAGAAAACAGACTAGGGCAAAAGATATATAAAAGTATGTGTGAGTAAAATGTTTATTCAAAGTGTAAGTCAGGCTTATACATTTTGTTGTTGTAGAGATTGTTAAGTTTTGATGTGTTTTCTGATTCTACAACTTATCTTTAAGAAACTGTTTATGTAGAATATTGAAATATTTATAAAGAATATTTATTATCATCTGTAGAACTATCAAACATTCTTCCTTTTTAAACATTTGCCTACGTGACACCTTTCTCCACAGAATTAAACCAAGAAAATATCACAAAATACAGAATGAAGAAGCACACTTGAGAATTTACTTATAGATAAAATTCTGTCCTGAGCCTCGAGGCTGCTTTTGAACGTTTATAAAACTAATCACATTTTTTTTCACATTTAAAAAGAACTATAATTAGGACAAAGCAATCCAATGCCTATGGCAAGATAAGACAAAAGAAAAGAAAAGAGACAAAGCCATGGATGACTGCAATGCCTTCTATACCTATTATCTAAGATATTTGCTGAAAAGTTGGTCAACATCTTCAATTCTTTTCACAATATTGCGATTACTTCCATCAGCTTCTTATTTTGTTCATGATTTTTCTTCTTTTGCGTTTAATTTCTTAACACTTTTATTCTTTAAGTTCTTTCCTATGTTTAATAAAGAATATTCCAAATAAATGTCATTCTTTTCTTGGTTGTTGTTTTGACATAACTTTGACTTTTCCATTCATGGGGAAGAGGGCTATCTGACACTAGTATGCTTCTGGGATTCTAGTGGCCCTACTTTGAAAAGAACTGCCTCAAGCTAGGACAAATGGTCCCATACTTTGACGATTTAAACCTCCTCCAGACACTTACTTAATTTGAGCACATATTTCAGTGAGTGTACACTTCAGTTTACTTATTAAATAAACCTTTGTTTACAGCATGTACTCTGGATTACTTGGAAATGCATTGTTATATATATTTGGATAATGTCCTCTCATTTATTCAGCCATTTATCATATTTATTGATTATAAATTTTGAGTTGTTTGAAGTTCTGGAAATGCATGTATAGTGGCAGAGACAATCTGTCTTAATGGGAAAGATGTACAATGAAGAGCAGCATAGTTTCAATTATGCAGAGGTAGTAAACAACCCAATTAAACTTATTCAGGGACATACTATGTAGTAACTTGTTTTAAAGTTTATGGTTTTACAAGTGACTCTACTCGAACAAAGACTCTTTGAGTCAATAATTATACCTCCCAGAATATGTAACCGCTTTCTTGGGCACATCAACAATGCAAGAGACTCTGCTAATTTTTTTATAATTTTTAGTTTACCCAGAATGTGGGGCATAGACTTTGACAAGCAGGATTTCATGCATTTGAAGATAACAGAACCAAACTGGTCCCACCCAACTTTAAATGATATGAAAAACTAGGGGGCAGCACATAAATACATGTAATATTATCTAAGTCATACAGAAAACAAGTCACACAGTCAGAAACATCTTACTTGCTGTGAAGAAAGACAACAAAGGGTTCTGCTGAATAGGTAATGCATTGGGAAGAGTTGGACTTTTTTGTCTTTTAATTTTATTTTTTTAGATTGTTTTTATTGAGCTACATATTTTTCTCTGTTCCCCTCCTTTCCACCCCTTTCCTTTATACTCTCTCCCATGATGCCTAAACTCCCAATTTACTTAGTAGATCTTGCCTTTTTCTACTGCTCATTTAGATTAGACCTATGTGTGTCTCTCTTAGGGTCCTCATTATTGTCTAGGTTCTCTGGAGTTGTGAATTGTAGTCTGATTTTTCTTTTCTTTTTTTAATGATTTTTATTGAGCTCTATATTTTTCTCTTCTTCTTTCCCTGTCTCTCCCCTTCCCGTCTACCCTCTTCCAAGATTCCAATGCTCTCAATTTACTGAGGAGATCTTGTCTTTTTTTACTTCCCATGTAGAATAGATCCATGTATGTTTCTCTTAGAGTCCTCATTGTTGTCTAGGTTCTCTGGGATCATGATTAGTAGCCTGGTATTCTTTGCTTTATGTTTAAAAACAACTTATGAGTGAGTACATATGAAAATTGTTTTTCTAGGTCTGGGTTACCTCCTCACTCAGAGTGATGTTTTCTAGCTGCATTCATTTGCCTGCAAATCTCAAGATGTCATTATTTTTTCGGCTGTGTAGTACTCCATTGTGTAAATATACTACATTTTCTCTTATGTATGGATGGAATATTCTATAGATGTCTGTTATGTCCATTTGAGTCATAACATCTGTTAGTTCCCTTATTTCTCCGTTAATTTTTTGTCTGAATGACCTGTCCAATGGTGAGAGTGGTCTTTTTTTTTAAGTTCAATATGATTTTATTTAAAAATCTGCAAAGCTGAAGGAGGGATCCAAGTTCTTGTTAAAAGAAAGCAATTTTCACAGTTTTTTTTTTTTCCAAGACAGGGTTTCTCTGTAGATTTTAAGAGTCTGTCCTGGGACTTGCTCTGTAGACTGGCCTAAAACTCACAGAGATCCACCTGCCTCTGCCTCCCAAGTGCTGGGATTAAAGGCGTGCGCTACCACCGCCCAGCAATTTCCCAGTTTTTATTCAGCCTTTAGCTTTGCTGAGTGGTAACAGAAAAGAAATTTTCTGTTCAAGATCCTTGCTTCAGCATGCTGAGCCAGGCTCCTGGCATCCTGTGGCAAAGCCACCTGCCCCCGGTCTGAGGTTCATGGCCAGCCTCTGGCATTAGGAGGCCTGCTCTCTTCCAGGGATTACAACACAGTTGTCTTGCCACTGCTTTCTGCACAGGGCCCTGGGGATCCTGTATTTTACCATTGGAAAAGTGTGAAAGGTTCCTTAACTCATTCTCTGCACTGAACCCGCCTCCCCCAGGTCTTGAGGACGATGAGCATAAACCACTCGGAATGTGTGAGACACCCTGTGCTTACAGAGCGATTCACATGTGAAAAAAGTAGGTCAAGAAACATGCCTTAGTATTTCAAATGTGACCCTAAAGAAAAATAACACAAGATGCACAGCACGAGCTCACATGTGTACTGTAAACTACTGCCGATTGCTACTGGCGGGCCAGAGGTGGAAGACAGCAAGCACACTGCCATATTGGTCCGTCCACAGGGCACATCACGTTTTCAATGGCGCTACTGAATTTAGCCGAGGGAAATAAAGGTCTACGAACGAACATCCATGTTACTCTAAATGGTGAGGTAGATTCTTTTTCTAGCATGGTAAAGTGAAGATAACAGAAAGTCCAAATGATAGTTGATCTTCTTTTTGAAACTTCAGGCTATAGTCACGGTCACAAACAATTCTTATGGAATGCGAGGCCACGAGGCTGGAGGTTATGTGGAGATACCCTATTTACTTGAGATACTACTTGAGGAGTCAATAATCAGTCTCGGTTCAATCAGTTCTTTCCGGAGCACAGTGATCCGCCTCTCCTGTGTCACGCCATACTCCACCACCTTGGTTCCGTTTTCATTGCGATAGACCAAATCAAACTTTCCAGATTCTTTCACAGCTGGTAAGGATGAGAGGACTTCTATTTCCATTTGCTGGGTCTCTGGGTCGTGGCTTAGAATTTTTCCTTCCTTGTAGTCAGAGACATCTGGAGAGTAGTCCCACGTGAGCTCGCCGACTAGAGGGGCAGCTGCCAACAGTGGCAACAGATTATAGTCCTTCTTATGTGTCTCTACAGGATACTGGATCACGGTGGATGAATTTGTTAGGATGTCATTTAACTGCTTCTGCTTCTGACTCTCAGAACTTCTATTTAAGATGCAGGAGACAGCATGCCCTCGGCCCCGTATACCCCGGCCTCTCAGTCCCTTCCCAAAGAAGTCCTCTCCTCGTCCCCAGCCTCTTCCCAAACTGGTGGGGACGGGTACACTGGAAGGAGGACCAGAAGCTTGTCTGCCTCTGCTTGAGTCAGAAGGCTTCCATCCCGTGACTCCCGGCATCTGCAACGTGAGCCCTGGACACCCTTGCCCTGCAAAGAGGCCAGCTGTCTTTAAGAAGTCTGAGGCGCCCTCAGAGATGTTCTTGGACACCACAAACTGGTCTTCCGACTCTGAACTCGAGTCTGAACTGGATGACGAGGTTCTGGTGGCCTTGCTCTTGCCAGAGCTTAAGGGAAAGCTGGCCTTTGAGGCCTGTCTGCTGGCAGCTGCAGTTTTGTCCATCTTTCAAGAGCTCAGCTGTGAGTTTCTCTGAAAAGGTCAGCCCCTGCACTGTGACGCTGCAGTGACCATCGCTGACCGACTTTGGAGAGGAATCCGAGTCTGACAGGTAGCCTGGGCTCCCTTTTGGCCCTGCGCTGCTTTTCCTCCGGGTTTTAGTGATGCTGCTTCTGGGGGAGCCTTTGGGGGAGCCCTTGGGCGGGCCACAGATCCACTCCTTGGGCGCCTGTGTTTTGGGAGACTTGGCGGCCTTGGTCTGCTTCTTAGGTTCACATTTCTCCTTTCTTTTTGGCGACTTCTTTCTGGCCTCTTCCTCCTCCTCTTCCGGGGTGCCCGTCACTTGGCTTTTTCTCTTGCTTTTCCTCCCCACTTCATCCTGAACAGGGTTTGTCTCCAGGTCCAAGGCCTTGTCACTGTGGCTGCTGTCCTCTTGCTTTTTCCACTGCTTCTTTGAGCACTTGTAACCCAGGTCCGTTTCTTCATCCTCCACCAACTTCAAAGTCCGCTTCTTTGCTTTTCTGAGTGGAAAGTGGGAGTCACCCCCATTGCTTACTATGAGACTCTCAGGGAGTCCTCCATCTTTTAACTTAACCCGGAGGAAGCCGTTGTCTCTCACCAGGTGCACGTTACCCGCCAGGTAGAGGCCCAGGAACGCCCTGGAACTGAAGCCGAAGCGTTGGGGGGGGATGAGACTGATGAGATCCGTGACAACTCGGTATCTGTTCAGGTCCACCAGAAGCCAGAAGACCGTGCAGTGCTGCGTGGCTGGCATCGGATAGTCAAACTGAAGCCGTACCCTAACCGTCTCGGAGGCTGCCATCTTGCTCATCGAGAGTGAAGTCTTGAAGTCTCCCACTATTAGTGTATGGGGTTTAATGTGTGATTTAAGTTTTAGAAGTGTTTCTTTTACATATGAGGGTGCCCTTGTATTTGGGGCATTGATGTTCAGTACTGAGATTTCCTCTTGATGGATTTTTTTTTCTGTGACTACTATGAAACGTCCTCCTTTGTCTCTTTTGATTGATTTTAGTTTGAAGTCTATATTGTTAGACATTAAAATAGCCACATCAGCTTGTTTCTTAGGTGAGGGAACCAGAATAGGAGAACTGTGGAAAGAGAAAAGGCTCAGTCTGCAGTTGTCACCCAATGCACAAGGAAGCAAAATGAGAATACTTCGCTAATAAATTTACCAAGCCACGTGGCTAACACTGACAAAAATTATGGGCTAATTTAATATGTAAAATTAATTAATAATCCTGAGCTAATAGGCTAAACAGTTTATGATTAATGTAGGTTCATGTGTGTTTTTTTGGAACTAAATGGCTACAGGACCCGGAGGGACAGAAACCTCTTTTGATATGCTGTTTAGAGATTCTTTGTTGATGATTTTTTTCTAGATAATCTACCTATTGAAGATAGTGGAATATTGAAGACACTATTATTTTATCTTAGCCTGCTTGACTCTTTATTTTCAGTATTTTAAAAAACATCTTATTGGGTACAATAATTTCTGGTGCACATATATACAGTATTTTTATCTTCATGATTATTTTTGTAGTAATGTATAGTAACCTTTATCTCTTTTTGACTAATTTTACTAATGTTTGCCTCATCCAAACACTAAAAGTGGTGCTCAAATACAAAAAAAAAGAAAAAAAGAAAAAAAAGAAACACATCTCAACCTCAAAGACAGACATTGCCTCAGAGTAAAGGGTTAGAAAAAATTTCCAATCAAATGGAACTAAGAAACAAGCTGGTGTTGCTATCCCAGACATAATAGACATATATGGAATGTTGGGACCAATTGAGTCCCAGCCTTCAGCTGCTCTTCCCTGTCTAGAGCCTTTTAATTGAAGTTACTAAAAGCTGTGCTTTGCCTACAGGATCAGAGGATGGAATTTTCACCTGTTGGCCATTGACTGAAGGGTATTTAAGCCTCCATGGTGCTATTAAAGAAGGGCTTTTGTATCAGCGATTAGAGGTCCTTGTGTTGGTCTGTCTCTGCATGCATTTCCTCAACCTTCAGCCCCTTGCCCGAAGTTCGTGAACTGGGTTCTAGTGCATAGAGCGCAGACGGGGTGGGGTTGCACGGCAATGGAACATTCCACTCAAACATAAAATAATATGCCTTCTTCTCAGCACTTCATGGAACCTTCTCAAAATTGACCACATACTAGGTAACAAAGCAAACCTCAACAGATACAAAAGAATTGGAATAACCCCATATATCTTTATTGGATCACCATGGCTTAAAATTAGAATTCAACAGCAACACAAATTCCAGAAAATCTACAAAGACATGGAAAATAAACAATGCTCACCTGAAGCATCAATGGGTCCAGGAAGAAATTAAAGACTTCCTAAAATTCAATGAAAATGACCACGCAACATGCCCAAATTCATATTGCTAGAGCAGTAAGACACCAAAAGGAGATCAAGTGGATACAAATCAGAAAAGAAGTCAACTCTCACTATTTGCTGATGATATGATAGTTTACAAAACCAATCCCAAAAAAATCTATCAAGGAATGTCTACACCTCATAAACACTGTCAGTAATGTACCAGAATAGAAGATTAGCTAAAAAAAAAAAAAATCAGTAGCCCTCCTTTACAGAGATGAAAAATGGGCTGAGAAAAAAGTCAGAGAAACATCACCCTTCACAATAGCCACAACGTAAAGCCAACCACACTGAACCTCATAGAGGAGAAAGTGGGAAGTACATTTGAAGGCATTGGCACAGAAGACCACTTCGAAAATATAACCCCAGCAACACAGACACTGAGAAAAACAATGAATAAATGGGACCTACTGAAACTGAGAAGTTTCTGTAATGCAAAGGACATGATCAACAAGACAAAATGACAGCCTACAGAATGGGAAAAGATCTTCACCAACCCCATATCGGACAGAGTGCTGATCTCTAAAATATACAAAAACTCCACAAATTGGTCACCAAATGAACAAATAATCCAGTAAAAAATAATAGGGTACAGACCTAAACAGAGAACTCTCAACAGAAGAATCTAAAATGGCTGAAAGACACTTAAGGAAATGTTCAACATCCTTAGCCATCAGAGAAATGCAAATCAAAACTTGTCTGAGATTCAATTTTACACTGGTAAGAATGGCCAAGATCAAAAACACTTATGACAACTTATGCTGGAGAGGATGTGGGGTAAAGGGAAAACTCCTGCATTGCTGGTGGGAGTGCAAGTTTATACAGCCCCTTTGGATATCAGTGTGGCAATTTCTCAGAAAATTAGGAAACAACCTTCCTCAAGACCCAGTAATACCACTTTTGGTTATATATTCAAAGGATATAATCAAATGATATCATATCTCAATGACATGTGCTCAACTATGTTCATAGTAGCATTATTTGTCATAGCCAGAACCTGGAAACAACATCAATACCCCTTGATTGAAGTATGGATAAGGAAAATGTGGCATGTTTACACAATGGAATAGTACATAGCAGAAAAAAATGACGTCTTGAAATTAACAGGCAATGGATGGATCTAGAAAACATCATATTGAGTGAGGTAACCCAGACCCAAAAAGACAAACATCATATATACTCACTGATGATATGTGGTTTTAGACATAAAGCAAAGAAAACCAGTCCACAATTTCACAATCCCAGAGAACCTAGACAATAATAAGGACCCTAAGAGAGACATACAGTGATCTAATCTACATAGGAAGTATAAAAAGACAAGATCTCCTGAGTAAATTAGGAGCATAAGGACCATGGAAAGGGGTAGCGGGGGGAGAGGGAGAAAGGAAGGGAGGGAAGTAGAGAAGAATGGATAGCTCAATAAAATCAATAAAATGTTAAAAACATAAATCTCAGTTCCCTCTTCTACACCATAGGATCTCAAGGTTTATACTTACGATCTTGCTCCATGGGTCTTGGAAATGGAGTGTTTCTTGTTATTTTTTTCTTTATAATTTTCTAAATGTAGTCTTCTGTCAACCTTTACTTCCATCTCCAGCATTTTGCTTTCTATCTGTCTACTGGAGATACTTTCTAAAGCGTTTTTATTTGATTAGCTGAACTTTTAAACCCCAACATGAGTTTCTCCTCTGTGTTTACGATTTGTGCTTTTTTTCTTTATGTCCCAAGGTGTTTTTTCCCATTCAACTGCTTGTTTGCTTTCTCTGAAATCACTGATTTTTTAGAAGAAGATTTTGGATTTAGGAATTGAGCAAGCTTTCTTGCAGATGTCATGTAGCATTTTCTTTTTATCTTTCTTGTTTTTCTGTGTTATACTATGTGCATCTGTTGTTTTGGATACATTTTCCTATATTATTTTTGGCTATTCCTAGTGTACATACTATTCTTGTTGACTCATTCATGAAAGAAAAAGCACAAGGAGAGAGAGAGAGAGAGAGAGAGAGAGAGAGAGAGAGAGAGAGAGAGAACGACTAAGTGTTGGAGCAGCTTGTTTCTGGGTTTTCTAAAATTGGAGTCTTCCAGGTGGAGGTGGGGAAGGAAAGTTGAAACTGGTGTCTTGTGTTTCTATATAAAGTGTTGCTGAAGCAAGGCCAGTGAAGTGCCAGATGTTCTTGGAGCTTTCTTCCTCCCAGAAGCTGTCTTCTTATTGTTATTGTATCAGGATACTTTACTGGCCACACTTAACTTTGCAGTCTGTGGATAGGGTAGGCTGTCTTACACACTCAAGACCTATCATCTTGTATATTCTGGGGTGGCTAATATTGTAGTCTGTAGTCTCCCCTGAATGTATTTGGAATAGGAGAAGCAGCAAATACAACATTGAGGCTGTCTCATTCTTTAATGACCTAATTAACTTAAAATCTTGCTGTAGGAACGAGATCATGGAAGACAATTCTGCTGGAAAAGAATTCTGTTTCCAGGAATTTTCCCTTTCATGCTTTGTAAATACTCATTCATGATTCCTATGTTAGATTGCTTTAATACCCATAGATGTGACTAGTCTGCACAGAAGTGACTAACTTCTGTAGCGAGCTGCCTGGTGTCACACCTGATGGAGATGTATAATCAACTCCTGAGATGGCTAAGGCCTGACCTATGCTATGATCACGCAATGATCAGCTGCCTGCATATGCGTGAACCTATGGGCAGTGCCCACCTGGCAATTCGGGGTTGGCAGCCCATGCCTACTTAAGGGCTGGGAGAGGTTTGCCCGGGGAGAGAGGAGAGAGAGGAGAGAGAGAGAAAGAGAAAGAGAAGGAGAAGGAGAAGGAGAAGGAGAAGGAGAAGGAGAAGGAGATAGATTGCTGTGAATAAAGTCCTGAAAACTGCTGCAAGAAGAGCTCCTGGTGTTGCGTTTTTCCTTGCTGGTTGAGGGTGGACGCGACAAACTTCATTTATTTATTTATCTATTCATTTGTTCATTTATTAGTTTTAGAACAAGAGTCATTTTAGCCAAGGGCTGTAAAATACTGCAACGACCTCAGCTGCTTTGTGTTATAACTTGGAGGAAAGACCATTACCTGAATTTGGATATTAAAATAGTCTTTACAATTTGTCTTGTGATTTAATTTGCTCTATTTATTCAAATTCTTTGTGTCCTGATGTTTGAGTTTATTCAATTAAAATATCATTCCTTTCATTGCATGTGATTAACGATGCTAAATAATTAATAAATAGTAAGTAAATTAATTCATATTAGGAACCGAGGGCAGTCTCTTGTATGTAGAAAACGCTCATTAAATATTAAGTATTATTCTTCTTATTTTAAATACATTGGGTCCCTCAAAACTTATGGTCCATTGTTTTATTAAAAAATCACACTCTTGTTTTAGTCAAAAGGATTATTTGTACAATCAACATTTCATTTTC